GTAGGAGTGACTCTGCTTGGTTAATCCGAATTGGGGGGTCATTGCCTACTTGGATACTTTCTCAGGGGTGGCTCTGCGTGGTTAATCCGCTTTAGGGGGCCACTTCCTGTTTGATTACTTATGTAGGCTTCGGCTAAAATGCATTCCTCTAGCCCTAGTTTTAGTGCACATATGAATGATGGTTTTTGAGAATCTTGGTGGTTTGAATGGGAAATGTCGATGGATGTTTGGGTGACTCTTTCGGAGTTGCAGCAACTTGATTATAATTTCATACAACATGATTCTACACTCGATGTTTATAGATTGCGATCGATGATCTGTTTTTACTAAATATCACATAATTGTATTATTGTCACTTACCCGAGCCTCGCAGTTTATTTTAAGTGTCTGATTGGCCAAAAGTACCATTTCTATGATGTAGGCACTGCTTTTACATATGACAGGTCTGAGTAGATTATGAGAAACTGCTTGATATTTTGGTTCCGTTGAGTGGTCCGGAACCCGGTGTTGTTGGATTCCGTCTAGTGGTCCGGAATCTTTGCTCTTGCTCATCCCCATAAGATTAGTCTAGAACCCTAGATTCGAGTGAATGAGAATTACCCACAATAGACCTTGTGAATATAAAATAGAGTTACCATGTTATTGCTCATAACCCAAGTAGGGAATTATGTAGAGTTCCTTAATTAAATTCATGAAATAATATGCTATCTCATTGATTATTTAATGTAATTAAATATTAATATTATGCTTTGTGATTCCTTGGTATGTTATAAGCTATGGACTGAGATATAATGTTGGAAGCATAGTGATTGGTATGATGTAGTGAAATGTGATTTGACTTGTGTATTGGAAATGGTTGTGACATGTGATTGAAATGCATATTGAATTGCTTGGGAGATGTGAGGTCTAGTAATGGACCGATAACCTATTGTGATGGGGATTTGTTGCTCAATATTGTTTCATTTCGTTGAGTCTTTGTGAATTGAGTAACTTGAATCATGTCTTGTTCCTTCGAGCCGTTGTTATGCTTCTTGGACTTCCATTTAGTTCTGTTGAGTGGTCCGGAACTGAGTTCTACTTGGATTCCGTTAAGTGATGGTCCGGAATCCCTTCTACTCCGCGATTCTGTTGAGTGATGGTCCGGAATCGTATCCTGATTGGATTCCGTTGAGTGATGGTCCGGAATCCCCTTTGGTGCCTTGGTTCCATTGGGTGGTCCAAAGTCCCCTTTTCCAGAGATGTAGTCTTCGATTGAACTGTGTCGCTCTAGCCCGCATTTCAACTTGTTGTATGTGTTATTGATGATGTGATGGTTGGCATTATTATTAATTGATGTGATTATGGAATAATGTTGGTTGTGATTGTTGTCATTATGATTAGACTCGTTGATCATTTGGTTAAAGGATAACATGGTGAACTACGAATGGCTTGATCCCTAATGAGGGTACGTAGGCAGTCTAACGAGGAGGTTAGATGCAGCCATAAAATATACGAAAAGAAAAATTTACTATGAGAATAGATTCTCGAGTTGTGATTTGCCTTATTTCAGATGCGGGGTATGTTGAGATACAGGTTTAGGTGACGTCACGTGTCGATCCTGGACGTATGTCGGGATCGGGACGTGACAAGAACTTCCCAGTGGGTCACCCATCCTGTGAATGCTCTGACCCCATTCTTGCTTAACTTCAGAGTTCCTACGTAACCGAAGCCAGTGAGCTCCCAAAATGCCTCGTGCTAGGTAGAGATGTGAATAAATATAAGGCTTATATAATCCATTCCCTTAGGTGATATGGGATGTTACAATCCACCCCCCATTAGGGGCCCGACGTCCTCGTCGACACACTTCCGGCTAGGGATTGGCTCTAATACCAAATTGTCACATCCCGGCCCGAGCCCCCACCACATCCTGGGCTTGACTTCATCGTAGCACGATTGTCTGTTTTGGGCCCCGACCATGCCCTCATAGTTTTGTTTCTGGAAACTCACATGAACAGAACTTCCCAGTGGGTCACCCATCCTGGGAATGCTCTGGCCCCATTCTTGCTTAACTTCGTAGTTCCTACGAAACTGAAGCCAGTGAGCTCCCAAAAGGCCTCGTGCTAGGTAGAGATGTGAATATACATATAAGGCTTACATGATCCACTCCCTTGGGCGATGTGGGATATTACAAATCAATAGGGTAATGAACATACAACACACTACATGGTGGTGAGCAAAAATGCACTCCACTGTTAGCACCCTATCCTCAAATTTGTACATATTTCTACAATTCAATGAATATCGTACTTGCATAAAAAAAATAGTAAAGACGGGAGCTTTGAATAATTTCACATAAACGTCTAATTTCGAACTTCTGAAGTGCTCCAGCCAAATTGAACTTCCTGATTGGTACTTCATTAGATCTGCATCCGTGGCAAGGAAAGTCTACTTGAGTGCTGGTCTTGGTGTTGGTGCCTTCAGCAGGATCTATGGAGGGAGCAAGAGGAACTGAAGGAAAACAGAGCAGTATGCAACTCTTTTTGCTTTGTTTTGCTTTTTCTACTAAACTTCTTCTGGACACAACTGCATAGTGGAAGCAAAAGTCGGGTTATACAGCACTTGCAAAGTAGAAACTATGCTACGAAATAGATGTTTCTTGATCATCAAACAACAAAGACTAAAAAGATGACGAATGACTTTCTGAAAACAATTTTTATAATCCAAAAACTTGGTTGGTATTGAGCTACATGCAAACATTTATGACTGGCTTTGAATTTCACTTAGACATTTTAACAAACACATATCTGTGCACTTTAAGCCCTGCAGAAAATGAAATGAAGAACAATTCGCTCGTTGAAGACTAACAAGTTTCATTGAAAATGTGTCTAGTGCCCATATCTAAAATGTCAAAAACTAGTAAATTTGTGTTTGATAGTAAAGGTTTTGTAATATACATTTTAAGATAGTAACATGGGGGTGGCGATGGTGTTTGCAGCTAGAGTGGTGTTGGTAGCAAGGTGGTTGAGGTCAGTGGCGAAGCCAAGTGAGGGCGCGAAGTGGCGGCCGCCACTCCCCTCGCCGGGAAACACCACTGGACCCAGCTCTTCACCACTCCCCTCGCGCGCGCCTCGCCGGAAAACCCTGGTTCATCTCCTTTGTTTTTTTTGGGCAATCTGCAATCTATTCTGTGCGGAGTGCTGTTAATTTTTTTTTTAAAACCAGGCCAAAACGATGTCGTTTTGGGCCTGGTAAAAAAATTTTAAAAATTGTAAAACAAAAAGGCACCGTTTTTATATTTGAATTAAAAAAAATTATAAAGGGGGACCGCTTCTACGTGTCGCCCCAAAACCCTATATGTCCCCCCCCCCCCATACCCCATTCCCCTTTACTTTGCTTATCCTATGCTGTTTGTTCACCAATCAACACACAAAGAGAGAGGCCAAGCTGCTCCCCAAAATCCCAGCAACCAAGCCAAGGCAAGTCCCCTTTAATTTATGTTAAGCCTTCACAGTTCACAAGTCATTATCCTCTCCACCTTGAGCTTGAGCCGTCGGCTTCCACCAATCACCATTTAAAGGTAAATTTTTTAATTCTTAAATGTATAATCCCTAACCCTAATTAATTATTTAATACAAATTTCATTTAATTGGTATAGAATCATATGGTAATGCATTAATATGGTTATTGATTATTGATGTGAATCATATGCTTCTATGATTATTGATTTGAAATTATGAAATTATATTTTAGGGTGAAATTATTGATACGAATTGGGAATTAGAAGAATTGTGCTTTTAATTTGCTTCTTACTCTTATCATATGTATGTATAATTGTACATATAGATAAATTGGCATGTCAAAAGCCATCTTTAACTAAAATTATTGGTAATAAGCCACCAGGATGGACGCAATGAGCCATCTTTAACTAATATTAGTACTTTTGATTAATTGAATTGTTGGTTGGTTGGATTAGTTATTATGCATACTATAATAATAGTATAGTCTACTTTAGGATTAAGAGTCTAAGAATTTTTATTTCTTTCCATTTTACAGTTACGTAATAGAACGATACTATAAGAAACAATGCTTAAATCCTCCTTCAAACATTTCGAGTAGTCATTCTCCTTCAAATATTCCGAGTAGTCCTCCTCCTCCTTCAAATATTCCAAGAGGTCCTCCTTCAAATATTCCAAGTAGGTCACAACAAAGTGAAGCCACTGAGTTGGATGAAATATTGGCTAATCTTCCTGCAGACCCTGCACATAGACGTCGAATGTTTGATTATCCACCTAATTATCGTGAAGCAATTCGTAGACACTATCTCCAAGTCGATCCTTGTCAACCTAGAGACCACATCATGCCAAGAAAGGTTAGCGACAATCGATGTTTTATCATTCGTTGCTTTGATAAGTTTAAGTGGTTGGAGTATAGTAAATCAAAAAATGCTGCATTTTGCCGTTATTGTTATCTTTTCAAATGTGATTTTGATCAAACGGGTAGCACTGAAAGGGATGTCTTCACTGAGATAGGGTTTACAAATTGGAAGAAAGGACCCGAAAATCTTCGAGTCAATGAAGGAGGTGTTGGAAGTCTTCATAATAAAGCTATACAACAAGCTAGAGATTTGATGACACAAAAACAACACATTGAAACATTTGTGATTAAGCAAACCGATGAAGCTCGCATTAATTATCGTACTTTATTGAGTGCCTCACTTGAGTGCACAAGATGGTTGTTGGGACAAGGTTTTCTTTTTTGTGGCCACGATGAATCGTTGAAATCAAGCAATAGGGGCAATTATTTGGAGCTTATGCAATTTCTTTCCAAGCATAATGAACAAGTTAGGAAGGTTGTGTTTGAGAATGCTCCCAAGAATCTTAAGTATACTTCTTCTGATATTCAAAAAGATCTTGTCAGTGCTTGTGCCATTGAAACTGTAGATGCAATCACTAAAGATATGGAAGGTGCATTTTTTTTCTCTTTTGGTTGATGGAGCACGTAATTCTTCAACTAAAGAGCAAATGGCAGTGGTATTGCGTTATGTGAATAAAAAAGGAGAAGCAATTGAAAAGTGTTTGGGTGTTCAACATGTCTCCTCTACAACTAGTGGCTCGCTTGAAGAGGCCATTAAGAGATTGTTTGCTACAACAAATTTGAGTATGTCCAAGTTACGAGGACAAGGCTATGATGGAGCTAGCAATATGAAAGGTGAGTTAAATGGTCTTAAAACAAAGATTTTGAACAAATACCCTTAAACATTTTATATTCATTGTTTTTCACATCAACTCCAACTAGCTCTTGTATTCGTGGCAAAGGAAAATGAGGATGTTGCCAATTTCTTCATCAAAGCTAGTAGTTTAGTGAATCTTATTGGATCATCGTGTAAGCGTCATGATGCATTTAGAGAGAAACAACAAGAACAAATTCATAAAGCTCTTGATCTTAGTAATCTTGAAACGGGTAAAAGGTTAAATCAAGAAATGAGTCTCATGTGTCCATGTGATACACGGTGGAACTCGTATTATGGTACTATAGTTAGTATTATTGTTATGTTTGAAGCCGTGGTGGAGGTGGTTGAATGGATAAAAAGTGATCGCAACCAAGATAATCTCGGTGAAGCAACTAGGTTTTTCAAAGACATACAAACTTTTGATTTTGCATTTCACCTTTTCTTGATAAGACTTATATTGGGAATTACAAATGAGTTATCACAAACATTGCAAAAGAAAGATCAATAGTAGGGTGGCGGTAGAGGGGTGTTGGTACCAGTATTGGTGAGATATGCACATTGGGTGGCGGCAAGAGTAGGGTGGTGAGGGGAAAATAGTGGTAGGTGACGATGGTGATGCTGGCGCAGGAGGTGGAGATTGTGGTGGCTATGATAGCAGGGTGACGGCCATGGAGACAGTGGTGATGGTGGTGGGAGATAGTGGTGACTGGCATTGCCATATCTCTGGCATCTGTAAACATGAACGTTTATCAGCCTGGAAAAAGAGTCTAGCAAGTTGGTCGTGCCATATTATTTGTGATCAACTTAGGCAAATCGTAGATGATTAGTCTCTCCAAGTTAGGAAATCCGACCTACATACACACACACACACACACACACACACACACACACACACACACACACATTAATCTTTTTTAGTGCGATAGATTAATCGGAAATAAATGCATAAACAAAGAGAAATGCATGAGTAATAAACATTTTCATCGAAAAGAAAATATTGCACAGCAGTCTCAAGATTCTCCTTCCAATCCTTCTCTTCAGTTTCTTTGTGTTTTGTAATACTTTCACTCTTACCATCAAATATGAATGCCCTCAGTTTAAGACAATCTTCAAAGCGGATCGTTCAATATGTGTAACTTCCTGAGCAGAATCTAGCGGGAGATGTTGCAGTTGTAGATGTTTTAGCTTGCAAAACCTGTTATCCATATTTACGTCACCATATTATTCGTTTGCTACAATCTCTTCCATTTTTTGACATTTGGATTCCTCAAGACGTTTGAGTTGTACAGAACAGCTAGCCATGGAACATGAAAACAAGAATCTTAAACCATCAAGCTTGTTAAGTTGGGGCATCAGAACCAGCTGTATATAATGCACAATATAAGTGTAATTAGCAAGAATGACAATTTTCATGGTTATTAATTAGTTGTATTTATTCCAAAATGTATAGACAAGAAAAGATGAGTAGACATAAAGTAAAGGTCTAATATGAAACAACTAGTAACCCATTGTTAGTATGCGTTTTGTTCTTCCTTCTTTGGTTAACCAAACCATATAATCATACATTATCCTTTAAGCAGATTATTTTCTCTATAAGCTGAGCTACCATTTTGTTAGAGGTTTTTATCACAAATAATCCCATAAATTGACCTCACTCTTCACTTTGGTCTCTGAAATTGAAAATCGATCAATGTTGTCCCTGAAATTTTGTACCACAAATCATTGTCATCCCTAGTGTCCCATTCCATTAATTTTTCAGTTACCTTCATGATTTTAAATCTCATCATTTTAAAAAAAAAAAGTTTAGTCCATGTGGCACCACACCATTGGTTGTATGGGTCTACATGTTTGACACCTCATCAAAGTAACATAAAATAAATGGAATGAGACGGTATGAATGACATTGATTTGTGGTACCAAATTTCAAGGAAGACATTGATCGATTTTCAATTTTAGGGACTAAAGTGAGGAGTGAGGTCAATTTCAAGAACAATTTGTGATAAAAACCCTTTTGTTAACAGAAATCCATGTTCATGAAAAGAATAGATCATACTTCCCCAATTCATGAAAACTTTCGTAGCCCTGCAAATTACATTCTCCATAATGTTTTCTCCGGCTTCTGTATATGTAGTTGCTTCTGAGTCCGTGCAGTTACAACAGAGGTGCTGCGGTTGGAGGAGAAACCAATAAACTTCGGTAGATTCCACCACATCAAAGACCGTTGTTTTTAAAAGGCTAATTTATGAGATGACCGCAACATACACTTTCCAAACTACACATGGTTGTGAAGAGAGTGACGCCAAGTTTGGAAAGTCATTATGAGAATATCTCCATCTACTCAAGTTAATGAATATGTAACTTGATCATTGTTTTGGGCATGGAGATGCTTCAGTTGTTTAACACCGTCCATGTCCAATAAATGGGAAATAGTATTTACACCCCCCTTCCCATCCAAGTGCAAATGCTCAGATCTCTTTAGCAGCAATTTTATACCTTGATCGAATTGATTCTTCGTATTTAGCTTGAGTTTTAGCATGTTAGAGAAGGTTCATTAGACATCAGAATATAACCACCAATCACCAACAAAGATGGTGTGCCTTTCCAAATTATCTGAGAACAAGTTTTTCGGAGAAGGTTAGCATCCAGAACATATATATCTAATGCAGTTAGCTGAGACAAATGCTTCAGCTCTGAAACACTAACATTATGTCTTCCATCGATCGGACATTCACCCTCCCATTGCTCAAAGCTGTTTATTCCCATTCTCAAGTCTGCTAACGTTAGGTGAAATCAGTCCAAGTTCCGAGCAACCACTCAAATCTAACAATCGTATATGAGTCAGTTCCCCTATTTCATTGGGCAACTCCTTAACCTGGGAGTGTGCATGGCTAAGAACTTTCCAAGTTTCTTAGCTCTCCAACTAGAGCTATATCCCCCAACACGCATTGATCTAAGCACAATGTTTGAGGAATTGTTAGGTATTTAGGAGAAGGAGGTAATGATGGAAAATAAAGCACAGTTAAATCCAACACTTCGAGCTTTTTCATCTCTTCAAAAAAATTGCAAGGGATTGATTTCTAGCGAGCCATCACTACTCCCTAAGTAAAATATTTTCAGTTCTGAGCATTCCCAAGGTACTTGGGGAAGCGTGGGTATGGACAGTGTACAGTAACGGAGAGAGACCCATATCATAGAGGACTCTTTAAACAAATCCATATATAGCTGTCCATTCTTTCAACTCCGCATATGTTAAACAATCCGGACAGCAACATCTCGTACAAGCTCGTGCATCCTAGCACTGATCATCATAACCGTCTTTGAATCAACAAATGAAATGCATTTCGTGCCTCTTCCACAGTATCGAAATTTTTAACCGACTCTAAACCTATAAATATAATGAATTAAAATGTGTATAAAAATAAATAATTTTAATTTTAATGTAATGACATAAAATAAGATATCTATTAAATAAACAACAACAACAACAAAGCCTTTTCCCACTAAGTAGGGTCGGCTATATGAATCCTAGAATGTCATTGCGCTCGGTTATGTGTCATGTCTTCTGTTAGATCTAAGTACTATAAATCTTTTCTTAGAGTCTCTCCCAAATTCTTCCTAAGTCTTCCTCTACCCCTTCGGTCTTGAACATCTGTTCCATAATCGCATCTTCTAACCGGAGCGTCAGTAGGCCTTCGTTTCACATGTCCAAACCACCTTAACCGATTTTCTCTCATCATTCCTTCAATTTCGGTTACTTTACCTCGGATATCCTCATTCTTAATCTTATTAAATACTAAAACAAAAATATAATATAATATAAACTTGAATTAAGTACACATTAGAGGATCAAAATCAATATCCAATCTTACACCATATTTTTATTGAATTTTAATTTTCTTCAAGGATTAAAGTTAAAAAACTCCTAAAAGAAAACAAGTGAAGGTATAATTCACCTTTTCAGCTAAGAGCTCAAAATTCTCTGAGTCGATCTCTCTTTTTTCTTTGTTGATTGTAATGTTTTCACTCTTACCATCAAAGATGAATGTCACCATTTTAGTACAATCGTCTAGATACAAATACTCCAAAGACAAAAATTCAATGTAACTTCCTGAGTTGAATCTAGTGAGGTTCGGAAGATTTGCCCAAATACACCTTAAATGTTATAAACTTCGTTTAAAATAAGAGGTATGCTATCTACACACTCCATTTTACTTCTCACACACTCCTTGATAATTTCTGTTTGTTGATCTTTTTCAATTCATCCAATCCGACGACCAAAAATTAAAAAGGTGTGTGAGAAGTAAAATGGGGTGTGTGGATATCACACCCCTAAAATAAATGCATTACGAAATGTCTCCAATCCCTTCGAATTCCTCAATTTTTAAAATTCTTTAAAATTAGTTCTTAATTTCATTCACCATGAATGTTATAAACTTCTTTAAAACCTTAATTAAATATACCCATATTTTTATGAATGAATGAGGATCCTTACAAGATCCTCTTTGTGAGGATCTTGAAGATCATTAAATCGTGTCCATTCATCGTACATGCAGTCAAAAATTATTTTAAATATTTTTATTTAAAATTAAACATGAACAATACTTGACAAAAACTGATCACACGATATACGATAAACAAACACGATTTAAGGATCCCAAGATTCTCACAAAGAAAATCTGAAGAGAATCCGCAGTTTTTAAGAATTTTAATAAACCGTCTTAAAATTTTGACATAAATATTAAATGGGGTAAATTACATAATACCCCATCAGGTTTGAAGTCTATTACAACCCAATACAACATCTTTAAAACATTTCACTTTCATACCTCACGTACTATTTTATTTCAAAATAATACCTCTGTTAGATTTTCCATCCATTTGTCTGTTAAATGCTGACGTGGTTACCACGTTTGTGCTGATGTGGCTGCCACATGGCAAAAAAAAATTTATACATTAAAAATATTATAATACTAACCCTATTAAAAAAATAAAAACAAGAAAAACCCAAACCTAGAAATCCTTCCCCGCAACCCCACATCCTACCCTTACCCCCTTACCCATCTCTTCTTTCCCGTCCGTCCATCCCCTCCACCCTTCCATCCATCCCCTCCACCCGAGCACCCCTCAGCGTGGGTCCCACCTTGACCCCTTTCTTTCTTTCTTTCTTTCTCTCTCTCTCTCTCTCTCTCTCTCTCTCTCTCTCTCTCTCTCTCCTTTGTAAAATGTGGAATTTGAGATGCGGGTGTGGTTTTTGAGGTCTAGTGCCTCTCCTACACCGTCCTCCCAACCACTTCACCTACACCGTCCTCCACCAAGTGACTCGGTCATTCTCTCTGACGCTCAGCCTGGGCCAAGGCGGCTTCAGGTCTATGTTCTTCACCATTATCCCACACACCCGCCAAATCTCTCTTTTTAGCCTCCAAGCTCGATTCTCCGCTTGTCGTCTCGGTGCTCGGATTCTCCTCCGACCCAAAACAGTGCTCGGATTCTCCTCCACCGCCACCGCTGCCCACCTCCGAAGCCTCTTCGTCGAATTTGACTTTTTCGACGGCCTGGGCATGACTCTCTACGGGTTTGGGGGTTAGGTTATTAGGGTTTCGGAATGGGGATTTTGTAAATGGGTCGGTTGATAGGTAGAATTAGGTATGGAAGTGCTTCAATGGGGATGAACTGCGGGCTGAGCGGTGGATTTTGTAAATGGGAGTTGCAGAGAGGTGAGGGGCAAAGAAGGGGATCTGGGTTCGGGTTTTTCTGGTTTTTTTTTTAAAAAATAGGGTTAATATTATAATATTTTTAATGTATAAAAAAAAAAAAAATTGCCACGTGGCAGCCACATCAGCACAAATGTGGCAGCCACGTTAGCATTTAACAGACCAATGGATGGAAAATCTAACAGAGGTATTATTTTGAAATAAAATAGTACATGAGGTATGAAAGTGAAATGTTTTAAAATGTTGTATGGGGTTGTAATAGACCTCAAACTGATGGGGTATTATGTAATTTACCCGTATTAAATGCCATCGAGAATCTAATGCTCCCCTTTGATTTCTTTTTCAACCAGACCAAAGAAGATGAACGATCCATAACCTCAGACAGAAGAGGAACGTTTGGTTATATTCTGTTTTGTTGTTGGTTTCCCTTGGCTGCACCAGTGTCAGTACAACTCGGCGGCTCCTCCCTCTAGTCTATGTTGTCGGCATCCTGGCTCCGCCCTCCACCCACCTTTTGTGCTTCCTCCGGCAACTGCAAGTTCTTATTCACTTGTTCTTTTTCTTCTTTTCTTTTTTCTTGTAAATTAATTTAGGGTAAATTACATAATACCCCTTCAGGTTTGAGGTCTGTTACAACCCCATACAACATCTTTAAAACATTTCACTTTCATACATTTACTTATCATTTTATTTCAATTTCATACAACCATTAAAAAATATGTTAAATTAACCGTTAAGTGATGACGTGGCAAATATGAGTTCCCCATTTGTGATGACGTGGCTTCCACATGTGTGCCACGTGGCTAAACAATTAATAAAAAATCTAAAATATTAAAATAATTAACTAAAAAAGGTTATATTAAAAAAAAAAAAAAAAACTAGAAGTTGCCTTCCCCACCCATCCCTTCCCCTTCCCTCCAACCCTCCCCACCCCCACCCCCCCAACCCACTCCTCTCCTCCACTCTCTTCATCTCCGATCCCTTCTCCTTCCCCACAAACCCCCCCACCCCACCCCACCTAGATACCCATATTTGTTCTTAAAAAATTAAAAAATAAAAAATAAAAAAAACTAGAAGTCGTCTTCCCCACCCATCCCTTCCCCTTCCCCACAACCCCCCTACCCCTACCCCCCCCAGCCCACCCCTCTCCTCCACTCTCTTCACCTCCCCCAGCCGATCCCTTCTCCTTCCCCACAACCCCCCCCCACCCCACCCCACCCCACCCCACCCCACCTATATACCTAGGGGTGGAAAAAAATACCGAAAATCCCAAACCATACCGAAAAAATCCCGAAACCGAACCGAAAAAATCCCAAAAATTTTGGTACCAATCCCGACCTTTCGGTACAGGAATTGGTTTCACAATCTTATTTTTTCTATATTCCCAAACCAAACCGAAGTTAACATATATATAGTTTTAGATATTATAAGCCGTTGGATTGGTTGAGAATTAATCTCAGCTGTTCATTCAAAATGATACCCAACCTCACCTTCACCTTTGCTCTCTGACCTCTCCGCCAAACTCTCTGACCTCACCCCACCTCACCTCACCTTCACTTCCTTCCCTCCCTACTCCTATACTCCTTTCAGTTTAGAGTTCAAACCCACAAATATCTCTCTCTCTCTCTCTCTTTCTCTCGACCTCCACTCTTTCACTCTCTAACCCTTACCTTCACACTACATCCGGACTCCAGCCTTCCATTTTCTTTTTGCATTTGGCAACTTCTTCTGCATTCGATAATCAATATAGCCACCTCTGCTTCCTTCTACTTCTCTCTTCATTAAGGTAATATTCTTGTCTTCATCTAGTCATCTTGATGTGGTAAAATATGTTTGTGGCTTTAATTCGTTTTTAATTTGGGCATTTGAATTCTAGGGTTTTGGATTTGGGGGTTTTCAATTTCGTTTGAAATTTGGAGTTTTTAATCATATGGTTCTTATATAATTCGTTTATTTCCTCCTTGAAGCTAGCAGACCTGAGCTCCTTTGCCTCCTCCTCGAACTCTCTCCATGAAATAGGGACTTGCATGTTATCAAGCCCTGTAGTCGAAGAGAAAATGTGCAAATGTTTATTGTTTCAGAAATCGTTTTGCACAAGTGTTTGTGTTCTGCAATCTTCATTGAATCTAGCACTCTTCTTCAATAGTTTGTACTTTAATGATAGCAGCTGCAATTTGTGTTTCTAACAATATTGCTAGCAAGGCCAGTTTAATAATAAATTCATTTTTTTATCAGTTCACAGTATTAATTTTGGGAATTTTTAACCACGAAGCCTTCATAAAACATGGTGGATTAGATTTGTTTTATTAGCAAGATACCATCCATATTTAAATTATGTGTTTCTTACAGTTCCCTCTCTTTCTTTACAGGCATGAGAGAATTTAGGCCAATGAGTTACGATTGTTTTGACGCATGAGCCCAAAACTATTTCGGGATTGCCGATTTGTCCCGAAATCCCAAAACTATTTCGGGATTCCCGAAAATTTGGTTTGGGATCGGTCTTGAAATTGGAATTCCCGAAAACTTCGGTTTGGGAATCAGGACAAGGTTTTCGGTATGGGATCCCATACTGAACTAGCCCTATATATACCCATATTTGTTCTTTAAAAAAAAAACACAAAAAACTAGAAACCCAAATTTCTTCTTCCTCTTCCTCACCCATCACCCTTCTCCTATCCATCATCACCCACCCCCAAAAGTCCCACCCGAGCACACCCCCTTCTCCTATCCCCATCACCCCCCCCCCCCAAAAATCCCCCATCACCCATTTCAAAAATCCCACCCGAGCCCACCCCCTCCGTCCAAGCTCTTGCGTTTTCTGTGGGAGTGGAGACCGCCGATGAATGTCTCTACGAATTGATCGGCGATAGGAAAAGGAAGAAGAAAAGAGAGGAGTGCATGATATTAGGGTTAGGGTTTGAGGCTTTGCAGAGAAGCTCATCTTTGAGAGAGAGATGAGAGAGAGAAGAAGAAAAGCGGAGGAAGAAGCTATCAGAAATGGTGATGAGGAGAGGACTGAGAAGGGGATTTTTGGGAGGGGTGATGGGGGATGGGAGAAGGGGGTGGGCTCGGGTGGGATTTTTTAGGGTGGGTGATAGTAGATGGGAGAGAGAGGTGATGGGTGGGGAAGACAACTTCTGGTTTTTTTTTCTTTATTTTTATTTTTTTAATATAACTTTTTTTAGTTAATTATTTTAATATTTTAAAAATTTTATTAATTATTTAGCCACGTCATCACAAATAGAGACCCCATATTTGCCATATCACTTAACAGTTAATTTAACAGATTTTTTAACGGTTGTATGAAATTGAAATAAAATGATAAGTAAATGTATGAAAGTGAAATGTTTTAAAGATATTGTATGGGGTTCTAATAGACCTCAAACCTGAGGGGGTACTATGTAATTTACCCATTAGTTTATAGGAAAACTAATGAAAATAACTTGAAAACTTTGAGTTTTAACGATAAGAACAAAATAAATGGTAAAGTGAATAGTACCAGGATTGACTTTTTAGTGTAAAAATATGATTTTTTGTTAAAGTGAAAAGTACCGAACTTTTCATTAAAGTTCCCATAATTTATAAGATTGTTTCTGAATTCTGATATTGTGATTTTAGATTTGAGAATCAATGTTGATGGGTTTTTAGTTGATAGATTTTTTTAGGGATTTTGGGATTTCAATAAATGCCCTGTTTCTAATTTCACATAATTCCTAACTTTTGAGGGATTTAAAGGTTCGGTTGAGTTAATAGTAAAGATGGGAGTTTTGAATAATTTCACTTAGGGCTGGTTTGGTATTGCTGTGCTTTGAAAAAAAACTGCTGTGAGAATAAGCGGCTGTGCTGTGAAAATAAGCGGCTGTGAAATAAATCAGCTGACTGTTTGGTAAACTTTTTTGTAAAAGTGCTTTTAAAAAAAAAAACAGTCTGACAGTGTGTCTTTTTATTAAAGGAGCACTATAGCTCCGTGTGCTTTGAAAAAAAAATCAGTTTTCAAAGCTGAAAATAGCAGCTTCAGCTTTTTCCTTTGATTTCAGCTTATTCTCACAGCAGCTTCCAAAATAAGCCATTTTTTTTCAGTTTACAAAACATCTAAAACCTTCACAGCTTTTTTTCATAGGTGTTTTTTTTTTTAAGCACCTCGCTCTCAAACCATCCTTAAACGTCTAATTTCAAATTTCTGAAGCGCTCCGGCCGAATTGAGCTTCCTGCCTGGACCGACATTGTGAAGACGGCCACATTCAAGGAGCTTGCAGCATATGAGCCTGATTGGTACTACATTAGATCTGCATCCATGGCAAGGAAAATCTACTTGAGGGGTGGTCTTGGTGTTGGTGCCTTCCGCAGGATCTATGGAGGGAGCAAGAGGAACTGAAGGGAAACAGAGAAGTATGCAACCCTTTTTGCTTTGCTTTTTCTTTTTTTACTAAGCTTCTTCTGGACACAACTGCATAGTCGAAGAAAAAGTCGGGTTATACAGCACTTGCAAAGTAGAAATTATGCTATGAAACGGATGTTTCTTGATCATCAAACAACAAAGACTAAAAAAAAATGATGAACGACTTTCTGAAAACAATTTTTATAATCCAAAAATTTGCTTGGTATCGAGCCTAGAAACATGCAAACATGTATGATTTGCTTTGAATTTCACTGAGACATTTTAACAAACATCATACCTGCACACTTTGAGCCCAGCAGAAAATGAAATGAAGATCAATTCGCTCGTTGAGTGTCTAGTGCCCATATCTAAAATGTCAAAAACTAGTAAATTTGTGTTTGGTAGTAAAGCTTTTGTAATATAAATTTTAAGATAGTAACAATGGGGGTGGCGATGGTGTTTGCGGCTAGAGTGGTGTTGGTGGTGGTGATGGTGGCGTTGGTGTTTGCGGCTAGAGTGGTGTTGGTGGTGGTGATGGTGGCGTTGGTGGTGGGAGATAGTGGTGACTGGCATTGCCATATCTCCAAGGTGTCTAGATTATTCAATCTTCCCATAAAGAAAGAGAAATGCATGAATAACATACCTTTTCTTCGAAAAGAAAATATTGTACGGCAGTCTCAAGATTCTTCTTCCATCCCTTCTCTTCAGTTTCTTTGTGTTTTGTAATACTTTCACTCTTACCATCAAATATGAATGCCCTCAGTTTAAGACAATCTTCTAGATGCAACAGCTGCAAAGACGGAAGTTCAATAAATATAACTTCCTGAGCAGAATCTGGCAGGAGATATTGCAGTTGTAGATGTTTTAGCTTGCAAAACCTGTTATCCATATTTGCATCACTATATTCTTCATTTGCTACAATCTCTTCCATTTTCTGAATTTGGATACCTCAAGATGTTTGAGTTGTACAAGACTTCTAGCCATGGAACAAAAATCTAAAACCATCAAAGTTCCGTAAGCCTGGCAGTTTCATTCACCATAATGATTTCTTCGGCTTTTGTATATGTTGTTAGTTGTTTTTTAATCCTTGCAGTTACAACAGAGGTGCTGCGGTTGGAGAGAAACCAATAAACTTTGGTAGATTCCACAACATCAGAGATGGTAATTTTCAAAACTAACAAGGTTATAAAGAGATAGTGACTCCAAATTTGGAAAGATATAGCCAACAGTCACCAACATGGATGGTGTAGCTTTTCAACTTATCCGACAACAAGTTGTTCGGAAGAAGGTTAGCATCTGGAACGTGTATGTTTAATGCAGTTAGCTGAGACAAGTGCTTCAGCATCAGGAACATTATTTCTTCCATCGATCAGACCTTCCACCCTCCCATTGCTCAATGCTGTTTATTCCCATTCTCAAGTCTTCTAGTCTTTTCAAGCTTGATGAAACATTAGGTGGAATCAGTACAATCTCAGAGAAACCACTCAAATCTAATTGTAGACGAGTCAGTTGCTCTGTTTCATCATGCAACTCTTTAACCTGGGAGTGGGCAAGGCAAGGCTAAGAATTTTCAAGTTTCTTAGCTCTCCAACTAGAACAATATCCCCCAACACGCACTGATCTAAGCACAATGTTTGAAGAATTGGTAGGTATTTAAGAGATGGAGATAATGATGGAAAATGAAGCACAGTTAAATCCAACACTTTGAGCTCTTTCATCTCTCCACGATTCTTCTTCGCAAAGTCAAGCTGAAAATCTTTTTGGGTATGCATCTCATATACACATTTCGCTCTCTAGATGTCAAAAGTAAATTACAAGTCGGTGCCCGGCGAAGTCCCACAAGGTCCAAATGAATTCTTCCCAAAACATCATCTAAAATAACAAGTGTTCTTGTCTTTTATCCTGTCCCATAAACAATTTACCCTTCTCTCAGATTCATCAATGTGCATACCGAACTTTTCTGCAATTTGTTTCTGAATTTTCTCCAGGTCTTCTTTTTCATTGACATTCAGTATTATAACCACATCATCCTATAACTTATCTTGTGCAGCTTGTCTGAAAACCTGTTTGGCATCAAATTAAAGGACAAATGGAGCATGAGTTCAAGTGACTCCTTAGGTTTGAAGGTTGCTTTTGTAGTGAATCAGGTATCCCACTTGACGTCCAACTGGAACAACTGTGTACTCAATTATTTTTCCAACGACCTTGGGAATAAATGAAGGTAAGACAAAACAACATGCCACTTTCAGTTTAGTAATATATCTGTTGAACATAAACGAAGCCAAAAACATGGAAAAAGATCTAGAAATTTATGCAACAAAATAAAATGAAAAATGGAAAGACAAGAATAAAATGTGATTGACATTGAATAATGAAACAAAAGACATACCTTAGCTCGTGAGAGGGAGACGAACGGCAAAGAAGAAGAGACTATGTAACTTGTGAGAGTGAGAGTAACGGCAAAGTAAAAGCAAAGTGAAGGTGAACGACAACAGAAATTGCAAAGTTGTGTTGTGAAATGAAATTAGAGGACAAATGAAGATAAGTGAAATAAGTGTGGTTTACCGTATTAAAACGAAGTCGGATGAGTTGCTATTCAATAATACGGTCTAGTTGTATTTTTCTTCATTTGTAAGCAAGGAGTCTTAGATTCTAACTTCGTGAATGATGATTGATAAGTTTGATACCAATTTATTCTTACCACCTTTAGTTAATCTCTTTATGGCCCGATATTATTTTTAGTGATGCTCAATATCCATCTCATTCTGCACCCCAAGTCCACTGTGAGATAACTTGCATAAGAATCTTTTTTCTTCAAGCTCTCAAAATTACTCCTTCCCTCCATTGTAGAAAGATGGCAATGGTCGAGATTTAACAAAGAGAGGTTTACGATTCTCCAATGATGTTTTTTTATAGGTTTGATCATGTATATGAGCATTTGATAGTGAATACATGTATAGTGCTTCACAATTGAAAAGAAGTGGAATCTTAGTTTCAGGTAATTACCGAGATTTTTGTTGATCCCCTTTTGTTGTGCTGCCAATTTTGAGTTCCTATCATGTAAATTGGTTGACTAAAATGTTAGTGTATGCAAAAAGGTTGTTGATGCTGATGGTTTTTTTCTGTAACTGATTTAAGAGTTGCTATTGTATTCTTAGCATAAACGTCAGACTGCCAATGACATCCTTTTGTTTTCTATAGCTGCCAGTGTCTAAACCTCCAACAAAATGGGAAACTTTTGCCAAAACAAAAGGTAAATCATTACTGTAGGAGTCGAACAGTACCTTTCTTCTATTTCTTTTAAGGCTCTATTTTGGTTTCTCATATGTGGCCATTTGGGCATTGAGAGCTGTAGTTGGATTTAAGATTTTGAGAAATTGGAATATCCTTTAGGAAAATGACGCAATTTGGGATTGGACCTGTCAAGTTGTTATATGAAAAGTCATAGGTATCCACACTCACCATTTTCAGAATTGTTGTAGGGATTTCCCTTGAGAGATGGTTGTGTGAGACACTGAGAACCTATAAATTTGTGAGATGTTCCAAGTCTGAAGGTATCACTCTGGAGAGAGAATTGCTGGGTCCAAGTTGTAACTCTGGAGTAATTTACCAATCTGTGCCGGTATGTCACCAGTCAAGTGGATCTGGCTCAAGTTTAGAAGCTGCTGTTTTGTCATTTGTCCGAGCTCAGGTGGGATTGGACCTGTAATTTTATCAACCCATACGCATTTTCCCCACTGTGGTCAGAGTGTACCAACAAACTGGATCTCATCAAGAGCAATGAATTCAAGAATGAATTGAAATATAGAAAAACTAACGAAAAGTCCAAAAAAACTTCTCTTTTAACGAAAAACCATTTTTAAATGTATAATGAATAGTGCTAGTTAAAGGGAAAAATGTGGTTTTTCGTTAAAAATGAACAGTACCGGGAGTATTTTGTTAAATCTCCCTTGAAATATTCAGTGAGCTTTTATGCGCATTTCTGGTTTAGTCCATTATTTTAATACATATACAATATTTATAATTCATTTGACATTCCCGAGGCAACGCGTGGGCTAAAACTACAGTAACTACGAGTCCTCTCTACATTCTAGTCCTCAATGGAGATGCTCTTAAGAAGATGATTGGAAATGATATTTTTCATGTATCACAAGAAGCAATAAAATGAGTACCAATTCAAGGATAAAGCTGTTTCAGTAGACGTGCACACAAGCACCACTTCAAATGCATCAATGTTAACATAAATCACACAAGCTTTATTTCCCAAACACCAAAACTGAAAGTGTAGCGAACAAAGCTTCAAATACAAATCACACTTTTACGATGAAACACGAGTCAAAACAAGCATAACATGACATGGAATATGCATCAGTGCCTTCCCAAATTGCACAAGTTTCTGGGACAGCTTTCCATTGAGGCCGCAGCTTGCATGCTTATATTAAACAAGATGAGATCAGCCAGGGAAGCAAGGTTGGGCACAGACCGTCGAGGGGAGAACAGAGAATAGTTAGAGTAAGTAACAAGAAAACTTGAGTATAATGAAAGTAGCAACCACAATAACGCCAAAGCCAAGAAAGCGTGCATCCTCTAGGATCTCCAATGCGTATTTCCTTTGACTCCAAGTAGCATAGTTTTAACCATTAAAAATTTGAACAATCCAATGTGATTTCCGTGGAATGTGTAGTGTGGTCCAACATATCAGAGTGCCTTCCAGTCTGCTCTCCAGGCTGATATTTCTTCCTTTAAAAAAAAAAACAGAAGGAAGAGGAAAATAACACACAAACATGCAATCGCACACAATCGGAAAACCTTAACACGCCAGGCAAAAGATGAGGATTCCTTTTTGGCAGAGTCTTGCAATTGTAACATCTACATTTGAATCCGTGATCACCAGCTGCTCCTGTAGAAATATATATTTAGTGGACAATTATAAATAAACACATAAACTATTCAGTATGAATTCTGACTGAACAACTATGAATAAGATGAATAAATCAAACTTTAAAATTTGACTTCAAGGTTCGGAAAAAGCTGAAAAATTGGAGAGTGAAATTAACAGATGCTTAATTAGTGAATGAAGAACTTACGGTTTGATCACGTTCATTCTCCTTTGAATCACTTAGCTTTTGTACATCATCAGTTTCCTCTGCTATTTGTAGTCTTTCTGGTCTTGGATCACTTTGGAGTAACCCATCAAGAGAAATCGTTAACTCAATCAACGGGCACTTCTCGACAATCAAATTGTTGGACGGTAAGGATGGGACCTTGAAAATGTAATTTCCAGTGCAAAATCCTTGCAGACTTGGTAGATCAAAAAGTTTCAAATGTTGCAAGCAACTGAAAGTAATCTCATTTTCTGGATCATCTCTGTTGCTCACTACTATTTCAACCATTCTTTCACAGGACTCAACTTCGAACTCCTTGAGTTGCTGCAAATTCTTAGCCACAGAATAAGGTATTAAGTATTGCAGTCCATGACAATACCGTATGGTCAAACTGGTTAGATTCCGAAAGGATATCAAAGTTGAAGCTAGATTCTCTAATCTGCCACATTTTTGCAGACATAGAATTTCCAAGTTTGGAAAAACAGGACAGGGACCCCTGGTTCGGAGTTTTTCCATTCCTAGATGTATCAGCTCCGGCATATCGATGAGCCACAAAGTCTTTACACGTGGGAAGGTCTCAGCTTCATGTATTTCCCCGCTACTACTTCCTTGGTGGTTGTGGACAATTAATTCTTTCCAAGGAGCAGAGAGAACACCGAGGTTTTCAATATTCTGTAAATTCTCAAAGAAAACATCTGACTTGGGATGTGAAGTAGCAAAATAAATCGATTTTATTTTGCTTAACAACTCTGCCGGAAGTGGACCATACGGCTCATACCAAATCTCTGTGTTCTCGTCCAACATCAAGTATTCCAAGTTGATGAATGACTTACCCTAAAATATAATCAACAGTAATGACATGCTTTAAAATATTTTGAAAAATTGGACACCACATAATAACTTTAATATTAAAAACTTAATAAATATATTTACTTGATGTGTTTGTTTAACTAGTATGTAAAAATCACACAAAATTCGAATATCAAAAGAATTGTGTTGGTTACCTTCTCAATTAAAAAGAAAGGCTGTTTCATTGGTGTCGGATGGCCCAACTCAAGTTTGTCTTGATATGTTGAAGATTCAGAAGCAAAAATCTCCACATTAGCACATTTCTTGAAATTTAATGTATTGAGTAATGGCCAATTATAAACATGCAGCCCTGGATAGAAACTCCGTAGTTGAGGTAGATCTTCAAACATCATACATGTTACTTTAGAGAATTCAAAACAGTTCAACTGAGTGGTAGATGATGTGTCATATACCACTTGTAGTGACTGGCACTGCTTTATTTGTAATGTCTCTAGAGCATTTAATCTTCCCATGATACTTGGCCCAAAGATATTAATCAGACTGTGGCATCTACGAACATCCATAATTCTGAGCTTGCTAAAAGAATCTGAATGAAGTTGGTTGTGGAATATTGTCTTCAACTTAGGTAAGTCCCATATGTACAACGTATCCAAGCTAGGAAATCCTACCTGTCACATATTCATTTAGAATTTGTGAACAAACCTTTTTTCACAAGAGTGGGACACATGCATAAGTTGGAAACAAAAGCTTAAAGAAACAAGTGAAGGTATAATTCACCTTTTCATCAAAGAGCTCAATATCTCTTTCTTCTTTGTTGGTTGTAATATTTTCACTCTTAGCATCAAAGATGAAAGTCTCCAGTTTAGTACAATCGTCTAGATCCAAATACGCCAAAGATGGAAATTTAATGTAACTTCCTGAGCTAAATCTAGTGAGATTTGGAAGATGTTGTAACTCTAGACGGTTTAGCTTATCAAACATATCATCTGTATTCTCCTCATTTCTCACTATCTCTTCCATGATTTGACAATTGGATATCTTGAGATTTTTGAATTGTCTGAGACATTTAGCCATGGAACTCGAAAACAAGAATCTTAAACTATCACATTGATGCACAATCAAGGTTGTTAAGTTGGGCATCATAACCTGCATAGCACATAACAGAATTCATGTTTGTATTAGGAAATTACAATTTATATTATTGTTAGCCGTATACATTCCAAAATGTGTAGATATAAAGTAAATATCATATATTTAAAAAGTAAGCTACTAGGCTACTGAACAAATATATGTCCTTGTACCTTCATTAATTCGCAAAGAACAAATTGGAGTAAAAATTATCTGGAAAAATAAATATAGGGCCAAAATTATGTCAATTTAATTTCAAATTTAAACTATTTTATTTTTTACAAAAAAAAACCTATCTTATTTAAATTAATACCAAAAACACATTATTGTGAACGGTCTTTAGTGGCAAGTTGTGAATTATCCTGATAGTTAGAGCGGGTTTCAAATTTTTTACAGTTAAAATAAGTAGCCTCTTTATGACACATCTCAATACTTGACACCTGTGCACAAACTTAAACCTAACATAACCCTATCAACTCCCAATAAAATTAAATACAAATAAAAGCAAAAGTTAAGAAAAGAGTAAATTGTAGCAATGGTCCCTGAACTTTACTCAAATTGGAGCAATGGTCCCTCAACTAAAAATCCATTACTATTGGTCCCTCAACTTATCAAAATGTGTAGCTATAGTCCTTTTCATTAATTTCTTCAAAATTTTGTCAAAATATGTTATGTTGGAATAACCATTTACTTAATTAGGGTCCCTCAACTCATCAAAGTGTGTAATTATGGTCATTTTCGTCAACTACGTAAAAAAATTTGTCAAAACGAGTTATGTTTGAAGGACCATAGCTACAATTGGGATAAAGTTAAGGGACCATTTCTCCAGTTGAATTAAAATTGAGGGACCAAAGGTAATGGATTTTTAGTTGAGGGACCATAGCTGCACGTTTTAATGAGTTGAAGGACCAATGGTAATGAATTTTTAGTTGAAGGACCATTGCTCCAATTTGAGTAAAGTTCAGGGACCATAGCTACAATTTACTCGTTAAGAAAAAGAAGCCTTTCATCCTCCTCTCTCTCACTTCCCCAAACACAATAGCAGCAATATCAATTGCATCTCCTTCACACTTTCAAATTCAAAAACCCAAAAAGCCTAGCCCTTCAATTTGATTGCTCCTTCAAAGAATATGGGACGACCAATTTGGGAAGATTGAAGAATAAATCCCTTTTGGCCTGTCAGATTTGTGAAAATAAGCGTCTCCCCTGAAATTTCCTTTGTTGCAAAATTCGTTGAATTTAACATAAAAATACTATAGTAAAAGGATTTTAGTATTTTTCATGTCAAATTTTGGTTAGCATTATAAAAATTTATAATAGTTGGTTATAATTTAATTTATGGTCAAAATTTTGGCTACTTTTCCAAATTTCCCAAATTACTTCCCCCACACCTTTTTAATTTTTTAATATTTTTCTATCAAGTGTTAGTGGTGTGTCAAAAATGTTAAAAAGAAAAAAAATGTGGGACAAGTAATTTGAGGTGTGAATATAATCTCTCTTGGCGTATTGAAAAAATAAATCTTAATATATCAAGAATTGGTGGTTTTAATGAGAAACGCATCATATTCAAGGATGACAATCTAATTATACTTAAAAAAATTGTGTACAAGTATGCTTACCTTGTCAATTAAAAAGAAAGGCTGTTTCATTGGTGTTGGGTGTCTCAACTCAAGTTTGTCGTGATATGTTGAAAATTCAGAAGAAAAAATCTCCACACTACCACATTCAATGAAGCTCAATTCGTTGAGTAATGGCCAATTAGAGACATGCAGTCCATGATAGAAACTCCGAAGCCGGGGTAGATTTTCAAATATCACTATTTCTACTTTAGGGAACCTGAACTCCTCATGTGTCCTTTTTGGTCCTTCTTCCATCGTGACAATTTCCTCCATTAAACCACAATTCTCGACCTTGAACTTGCTTAGCTGCTTAAGATTTTTGGCTACTGAGACGGGAAATAAATTCTTCAAACTCTCACATGAGGATATCTCAACTAAATTTAGATTCGGGCAATCAAAATTGTTCAACTGAGCGGTAGATGATGAGTCATATACTACTTGTAGTGACTGGCATTGCTTTATATATAAGGACTCTAGAGCATTCAATCTTCCCATGATACTTGGCCCAAAGATATTAATCAAATTGTGGCACCTATTAACATCCATAATTCTGAGCTTAGCAAAAGAATCTGAATGTAGTTGGTTGTGGAATATTGTCTTCAATTTAGGTAAGTCCTGTATCCACAATATCTCCAAGCTAGGAAATTCTACCTGTCACATATTCATTTTAGAAAGAGTGGGACGCATGCATAAGTTGGAAATGAAAGCATAAAGAAAAGAAGTTAAGTTATAATTCACCTTTTCATCAAAGAGCTCAATATCTCTTTCTTCTTTGTTGGTTGTAATATTTTCACTCTTGGCATCAAAGATGAATGTCTCCAGTTTAGTACAATCGTCTAGATCCAAAAACACCAAAGATGGAAATTTAATGTAACTTCCTGAGCTGAATCTAGCAAGGCTTGGAAGATGTTGTAACTCTAGACGGCTTAGCTTATCAAACATATCATATGTATTCTCCTCATTTCCGACTATCTCTTCCATAATTTGACAATTCGATCTTGAGATTTTTGAGTTGTCTGAGACATTTAGCCATGGAACTCGAAAACAAGAATCTTAAACTATCACATTGATGCACAGTCAAGGTTGTTAAGTTGGGCATCATAACCTGCATAGCACATAACAAAATTCATGTTTATTTTAGAAAATTACAATTTACATTGTTGTTACTTGTTAGCCATATATATTCCAGATGTGTAGATATAAGGTAAATGTCATATATTTAAAAAGTAAGCTACTAGGCTACTAGACAGATGTATGTCCTTGTACTTTCATTAATTAGCAAAGAACAAATTGGAGTAAAAACTATCTAAAAAAAAAAAAAAAAAATATATATATATATATATATATATAGGGCCAAAATTATGTCAATTTAATTTTAAATTTAAACTTACTTAAAAATTTTTTATTTTTTAAAATTGATACAAAAAACAAGAGATCTTTAATGATAAGTGATGAATTAACCTAATAGTTAGAGTTGGGTTCAAATTTTCTAAACCCAAAATAAGTGTGGCCTTTTGACAAAAATTAATAAATAAATAAATAATAAGTGTGATCTCTTTACGACACGTCTCAATACCTGACACTTGTCCACAAATTAACCTTAACTTAACTCTATCAAGTCCCAATAAAATTAAATAAAAAGTAGAAAAAGAAGCCGCTCATCCACCTCCTCTTTTCACTTCCCCAAACACAACAGCAGCAATATCAATTGCATCTCCTTCACACATTAAATCCTTAAATCAAACCCAAAAACCTCGCCCTTCAATTTAATTGCTCCTCCAAACTATAGGGGACGGCCAAATTTGGAAAGATTGAAGAATAAATCCTTTTTGGTGCAAAATTCGTTGAATTTACACCCTGTCGATCGAGAGTGATCTCGACGTCACCATCGACGATCTCCTATTGCAAATCCTTGGGGTCCTTGCCGTTGACTGTGTAGCCCACCGAGATGCAGGTTCCAAGAATCTCCTTCACTGTTCCCGCGAGCTCCTTCGGCCATGGATCTGTTCCTCATAACCTTGCCGATCTCGATGACGTCATCAAGGGAGATGCCGCCGCTGTGCTTGAAGAGGTGAAGGTCCGTGAGGAGGGGGCGGTGATTGGTGGCGTTGGGAAGGAAGGAAAGGGAATGGGAGAGATACCCAGTACGCTGGGCTACGCTCAGATTTTTTTATTTTATTGGGAGTTAACGCCGTTAGGTTTGGTTGAGTGAATGGACAGATGTCAAAAAATGTAAGAAAATCAGAGAGGTCACAAGTATAAATGAGTGCAGAAGATTTGACTTGTTAGTTGAATACCAATAGTTGTCATTTGAAATCTGAAAAAGGAATCTTAAAAAAATCGTGGGTTATAAAAATAAATCTTAAAAAGAAATTAAAAATTCGAAGAAGAAAACTACTTGGAGAAAGAATCATGCAACCCTTTTGCTAGAAAAATAACAGAAAAAGTACCTCTCCATTACTGAAAAGTCTCGGTGGTCCACCAACTTCATCCTCCAAAACGATTTCGTCGGCTTCTGTATCAATCGTTAGCTTGCCTTTGGAAGAGAAACCAATAAGCTTTGGTAGATTCCGCAATGTCAAAGATTTTAACTTTTGGAAAGGTTCGCCTACGAGTTGCCCATAACACACACTTTCCAAGCTCACAAGGTCTTCAAAAAATAGAGATTCCAGGTTGGGGAAGGCATTACGAGAATAATGCCAACTGATGGAGTTAATGAGATATGTAACTTGGTCGTTGTTTTGGAACATGGAGATGCTTCAGTTGTTTAACAGCTTCACTGTGAAATAGAAAGGAAATAATACTCACAATCTCCATCCCGTCCAAGTACAATTGCTCACATCTCTTTACCAGCAACTTTATACCTCGGTCGAATTGATTAGTCCTGGTGAGCTTGAGTTTTAGCATGTTATAGCAGGTTGCATAGATGTCAGGATATTTCCAACAATCACCGATAAGTATGGTGTATCTTTCTAAATTATCGGAGAACAAGTTGGTTGGAAGAAGGTTAGCATCTGGAACATGTATGTCCAATGCGGATAGATGAGATAAGTTCTTCAGCTCTGAAACCCTAGCATTACTTCTTCTGCCATCGACCAAACCTTCACCTTCCCACTGTTTGAAGCTTTTTATTCCCATCCTCAAATCTTCTAGTCTTGTCAAACTTGATATAACATCAGGTGAGACCAAAATCAGTTCAGAGCAGCCAGTCAACTCCAATAATTGTAGCCTAGTCAATTGCCCTATTTCTTTGGGCAACTCTTTAACCTTGGAGTGTAGCAGGCTAAGGATCTTCAAGTTTGTTAACTGCCCAACAAGTGTTATGTCTACCAACTCGCAGTAACCGAAACACAATGTGTGGAGATGCTTTAGGGATTGAAGAGACGGAGGTAGTGACGGAATATGGAATTTGGTTAAATCCAACACTTTGAGTTCTTTCATCCCTTCAAAAAATTTGCTTGGGATTTCCTGGGAGTCGCCAATATTATGCACATCCAACGTCAACAATTTTAATTCTGGGCATTCCCAAGGTGCTTCAGGAAGTCTGGGGATGTTGCCACCTTCTACGAAGATCCATGTGCATTTTTTAAGGAAATCCTCAGTTGGCCATTCTTTCAACCCATCTCCATATTTTCTTGAAAAGGCCTTTTGATCATCAGATGCAATCCGGACAGCAACATCTAGTACAAGCTCATGCATTCTAACAGTCTCATCGTCATAACCGTCCAGTAATAGGCAAGAATTTTTTAGTTTTTTAACCATTGAATTCAATGAAATCCGTGCCTCTTCCACTGTCTCAACGCTTCTAACCAAACCCAAGCCCATAGCACATTGAAACAAGTAAAAGACATAAATCTTGCCATTCCCAAATGCAAGAATTCCGCAAAGCAAGAACAATTGCTTAAGCTCTTGATCCTCCAATTGTTCGTAACTCCACTTTAGAGCCAAGAATTCTTTTTCATTCAATTCTTTCTTGTCAAATCTTTTGAAACTTCTCAGCGCAACTTTCCATTCATCCAAACTACTATCCCTTAAAGCACTTGCAACTGCAACAACCAAAACCGGCAAACCTCCACATTTCTTTGCTAGTTGGGTTGCTTCTTTCAGTATACGGTTGTCTTTAACGACATTACCTGCCATCTTCTCAAACAAACTCCAACTTTCTTTTTCTCTTAAAAATCCAAGTTGAAAATCTTTTTGCGTACGCATATCAGAGCATAAAACTTTTTTTTCTCTAGATGTCAATAATAGCTTACAGTTCGGCACACCGACGAGTCCCACAGCTTCAAAGTCAATTCTTTCCAAAACATCGTCTAAAATGACAAGAGTCTTCCCCTCTTTTATCCTGGCCCGTAGGAGATTCCCCCTTGTTCCCCTATCCTCAGATTCATCAACGTACATCATCAACTTTTTGGTAATTTCTTTTTGAATTTTTTCGTTGTCTCTTTTTTCTTTGACATTTAGTACCAGAACCACATCATCAAATAACTTCTCTTTCACAGCTTCTCTGTAAACCTCTTTGGCAAGTGTTGTCTTCCCAACGCCCCCTAATCCGTACACCCCAATCCTGTTGATATCAGGTTTTTTCAATTCCGTAATGATATCCTTCACCATTGAAATCCTTGATTCAAAGGCCATGTACTCGTCGGAGGCTATGGCAGATATGTCTTCTAAGGCAGCATTGTAAGAAATTGTGGGAAACTCTTTTTTATTTTCATGTTCTTCAATCTTTCTCACCAATTTAGTTGATTTTCTGCTGAGCTGATGATAGGATATCAGGTTAGGACATATATACAAACATTTTGTCTTTGCACGGCCTTCATCATCCAATATTGCTTCTGCCTCTCGAGAGATCTCATCTGCTTCTGTCTGCCAGTTCCGGACATCAACTTCCACTTTTTCATTAACTTTTCTTTCGACTTCTTCAACTGCATGGTTCATCCTTTGTTTCACAGCATCAAAATTCTTCAATGTACTCCTTAGATCTTTAAGGTTGCTGTTGTAGAAAATGAAAATGACATAACTCACTTGCCGTCCAAGTGGTCTAACTGTGTAGTCAATTATTGTAGGAATAATTGCAGTGAGTATCTCCATCGCCATGGCACCTTCAGCTTACCAATTCGTCTGCTTCTCCGATCTGTTGAATATATACGAATCCAAAATAAATAAATAAATTCAAGATACGAGAAAGGAATCCTTTATATTTTCAAAGCAGATGAAATTAAAAAAAATAAAAAATCAAACAATAGGTCATACCTTAGCTTATGATCAAGGCTACGCTTGAAGAAAAACAGAGCAGTATGCAAATTTTTTGGTTTTCTTTTGCTTTTGGAGAAATCTGCATAGTAAAAGCAAAAAGAAGGTTATACCACACTTGCAAAGTAGAAGTCGAGACCATGAACAAGTTTTCACATACAATTATTATACTAAAAAAACTTGCTTGGTACGGAATTTAGGTAACTGTTTCCAAATCTTAAAAACTATGAAAAACATATATAATCTGCTTTGAATTTCACTGAGGCATTTGAACAAACAGAACAAAATGTAGAACGATTTGCTCGTTGAAGACCACTAATTGAAGTTTGTACCACAGAGCTACTGATCTAGATGGTACGATGGAGTTGACCCCCGATTCTCAGGAGCTGACCGAGTTAACTCTGCCAAGGCTCGACGAGTTCCAGAGGCTCATGACGAGCTCTAGTTTACGAAAGAAATCTGAGGCCATCAACTGCGAAATCCAGGCAGTCATGAGCTCGGGCAACGCGAGGTTAGGAACAGAGACAACCTCGCTCTGAAAGGTCGAGCAGAGCTAGGAGGTTGCCGAGTGCCTGATTTTGTTCATCTTGAAGAGAATTCAATTTTTTATTTATTTACAAGCAGCGGCGTAACCAGGAATTTCAAATAATCATGTCATAATATCAACAAAAAAGCTTCATTGGGTCATTTCGTCGAACACCTAGTAGGCACCTGTGAATTCCTGCCAACATATGCTGAAATTTTATGTCAACATATATCGACGACTACTATTACTTGTACAAGCTTGTCGATGGTGGATGTAGGGTACTGTGGAGTAATGTTGAAGATTTTCAAGGCTTTTCAACTAAAACATTTCATTTAAGAAGAGAGAAAATGAAAACAAATATGATAGAAGAAAATAGAAGAAGTAGGACGAGAAGGTCGTAATTTAATTTGCCTTAGTTGTTTGTTAGAGTCAAATACAATATAGAAGCAAATATACATAGGGTTTTTAAAGTTATTAGGGTCAAAGACAACCAATAACTCCATGCTGGCTCCATCACTGTTTACAATGGCAGCCATGGTGATTGGTCCTAGACAAAGGGAGATGGAGGAAAACGGGTGAAAAAGTTGCAGGGAGGAAGAAAGGAGGTGTTTGGTTGTGTGTTTAAAAGTTCCTAAGGCTTATGAAGGAAATTTCACCTAAGAGAAAAATCACGAAGGAGGTTGAAATTATTTGGGGGAAATTTGGGCTTCTATATTGCCGTGAATTCCATGACTGAGAAGTCCTACAATGAAGACGAATTGCTACCATGGCTTCCACAATAAAGAATAGGAGGATTTTGAGGTGGGGTCGTCGACAAAGAAATGTTAGAGGAGAAGTGGGTGGCACCGATGGAGGAGACGAGGTTACCGGAAGCTTTGAAGAGGAGAAATTTTTGGGGTGACGGGAACACACACACCTCAGAAAGGCAGGTGGTGCTCCTAACCTATTAAATTTTGACAGCTAGCTTTTGGCATCCTTTTGTTTTTTACTTTTTAGCTTCTCCAAGTAATGCTATTCATATTATGTTTTTATATCACATTTTTATACCATCTTAGGTGGCATTGGACAGCTACATCATTTGAAAAATTTGCAAACCTCAAGGAAAGGAAGAAGAAAGACTCATCGTATACCACAATCATCATTTAATTAACTAGTTTTTCTTAATTATTAGTTTATTAAATAATGAACTAATTTAAAAATCTGATTAATTCAAATGATGTGGCTGTCCACATCAAATGCCACCTAAAATGGTATGAAAATGTGATACAAAAATATGGTATGAATATCATTACTCATGATTAAGTGAGCAAATGACAAAATCCAGCTGTCAAAATTTAATAGGTTAGGAACACCACCTGCTTTGCTGAGGTGTGTGTTCTCGTCACTCCCAAAAATTTCTCGTTGGAGAGGACAAGGTTTCACGTTTATAAATTAAAATTGTAACAAATGTTTTGTTCTCATTGGGCCACTTCATGTGGTTAATAATTTGGGTACTGTCTATTCAGTACCCAAGTATTATCCTAGAATGAGGGCAGCGGATAATTGAAGAAGGGAACATTGCGATAATTAGGAGTGGAAAATTTTGCCATAAACCGATTTACCGACCGACCGAACCATACTAGTCGGCTCATAATGGTATGGTATAGTTTTGGCATTTTTTTTTCATAATCGGTTGGCATTTTACCGAACCGACAATTAATGGCATGGCTTTGGTAATTGATTTTGTATGCCGACGGTATACCATACCTACCAATATATATATATATATATATATATATATATATATATATTTTTTTTTTTTTTTTCTATTTAGATATTTTAGGTATTTTTTACATGCTTGACTGTTGACTCCTTAGTTTTAGGGTTTAAAAATATATATGTATATGTATATGATTCATGCCATAATAAATATAGAAAATATTGTTAACAAAATTGATAGCATGATGATTACTGATACTATATATACAGGTACATATATATGATTTTGAATGTATATGTGTTGCTTATGTTTAGGATAATGGAGTCTAGCCAATCAACCGTTACAACATGGATTAGCCAAAAATGAACCACACAATGCAACCGAACAAGCAACCCAATCTGAAAATCAAAATGAACCCCTAGAACTGGAAGATAGCGAGGAAGAAGTGGAAACCACTGATTGTGCCATTTACCAACCGAACAACCAATAATTTTGGCTGAACCGATTTTTGGCAACCGCAAGAAGACGGTTGGTTAGCAGTAATTGATTTTTGGTAATTATGTATATGTGGTTGGTAGGTGGCACAAGAAATTTGGCACGATTTGCCAACCGAACCCAGCCCTAGCGATAATCAGCCTCAAGTAGACAAAAGGTACAAGAGAAGCCATTGTCAAATGAAAAAATTAATCAAGATGTGTTTAATGTATAAAGTGGCAGGTAGATAATTGAAGAGTTTTTATGTTTTTCTCTTCTAATGTTGTCAATAAATGAAATTTAAGCCATTGTCGGTTAGGGAGAAGAAAATGGAAACATAACAAGGAAAAGAAGAAGACAACTGATCATCATTCAAGAGACGACAAGTTCGACGAATAGAGGTGCGGAAGAGCAACAAAGGCTCAAGTTTTCTCAACTTGGTTTTCTTCATTTTATTATGCATTTAGTGACAACTTCAATTATGTTTTGAAATTAATTTCTTTTCCCTAGAGCTACGAGGTAACCTAATCATGATTGCTTCATTCCTTAGTATCGTTATTTATGAATTTCAATCTGATTGAGTTTATTTTGTTGTGGATTATACGCTTGATTTTTATCTTGTTGATTAGCTACAAACTTGGTTTGTCAAGTTCATCTAATGCAAATTTAAGTATGTGGAAATTCAAAGCTTCTTGCAGTTAAAGTTATGAAAGCCTTGATATACAGGTTATGACTATGTTTCATGCAGTCTCTTAGTTAGTGTCCAAATTGATAATAATTTTTTTTTTTTTTTTTTTTTTTTGTGTTTAGTAATCTACATGTCATTGAATCTTAGTACATAAGAGTATACCTAGTAATCTAGATGTCATGAACACTATATGATTTAGAGGAATTAGATCGTCGACAATTATTCATTAATAATTTATTGCTAGAAATGGAAAATTTGGAAAAATAACCAAAATTTGAATCCTATATAGAACTATAGCCATCCTTTTAAGTTTATGATAATTATAACCAAAAGTTGATATGAAAATACTAATATATCCTTAAAATAGGAATTGAGAGGTAAGGAGAGTTTGAAAACAAATCTAAAAAACCCAAATCAAATCTGAGATTATCCCAATGTCTTACCGGGTTTTTTTTTTTTTTTTTTTTTTTTTGTTCCAAAAAAAATTAAAAAATGTGAACCCAAGGATTTTCTCGGTTTGATTTGTGTGTGACAAGAAAAATTTATTTATTATTCATCATTTTATTGTGAAATTGTTGTAGGGTTTTCATTGTCATTCAAAAATGGTCTGGAAAGTTGTTGAATACAGTCCCGAAGAAAATGGTCTGGGAAGCTATGAACACTCATGGCTGAGACAACTTGGAGAACATGTCAGTTTATATATTTATTGCCCCACACCACACCCATTGATTCATTTACATTTAGCAATTTTCTTACAAGTTTGGGGCATCTAGCTAGTATGAAAAAGAAGATCATTATCTACCAGCTGCTTCGTCGATTGCAAATTTTGTATCATTTTTCATTTGGCATTTCTCTTCTGCATTATATGATTTCGATATGTTTTCTGTCTCTAAACTTGTAGTAGAAAGGGGATTTAATTGTTCAATTTTTTTATTTTTTATTTTGATACAAAATTATAAAGGTGTACATAAGGGTATATTAGTACTTTTATATCAATTTTGGGCTATAATTATCATAAATCTAAAAAAGTGGCTACAATTCTACATAGAGTCTTAAATTTGGTTATTTTCCAAATTTCCTGCTAGAAATAGGTTGGACTGGTTGTCACATCCCGGCCATGGCCCCCACCACATATCCTATTACGACGGAGTCGAGCTCAAGATGTGGTGGGGGCCGGATTGTGACATCCCATATTGTCCAGGAGAATGGATCATGTAAGCCCTATATGTATATTCTCATCTCTACCTAGCACAAGACATTTTGGGAGCTTACTGGCTTCGAGTTCCATCGAAACTCCGAAGTTCAGCGAGTTCGTGCGAGAGCAATCCCATGGTCAGGATGTGACACTGGTTATGGTGGAGTCAAACCCGGGATGTGGTGAGGGCCCGGGCCGGGATGTGACATTGGTTATAATGAAATCGAATGCTCTAGTAACTCACTCATCTCGTTCACAATTTGTTTCTATTTGCATCTCTATTCCTTTAGTCTTATTTGTCTTGTTATTTTTCAGTGTTTTTAAATCAAGAACTCAATCCTTGCAATTCTTTCTTATAATCAATATTTTGAATTCAAGTGCTATTCAACTTAAGCTAGGCAATTAGAATTGACTCGATCTCAGTTGGAACGAGGTTGTGTTTGCCTATTATATTATACTACAATTCGTACATTTGCGAGCATGAAAATTTGGACTGAATT